AGCCCAAGTCATCCAAATCCAACTCAGCTCAGTCAAAGCCCAAAGCGAAGCCCAAGTCATCCAGTAATGAATTGATCCAAATGGCTAATAGTTTAATGGCCCAAGCCAAGTCACATATTGAAGATGAAACTTCTGAAGCATCCAGCTCCTCCGAGGTTTCAACCAATAATGATCCTTATGGGTCCCAATTTCAAGATGCTCAGGGCCCATATGTTTAAATAGTCAGCCATTGGATTTTATATATGTACAAATCAGCTTTAATCACTACTCTCTTTTGAGAAAAGCTGTTGTTTTGTATTTATATTAGTTTCCCATCAGTCACATGCCTCCACCGAAAGCAATGAATAGTGAAAAAAGTCAAATTTACTGTTCACTATTCATCAACAGACAATTCTCCACAATCAAAAGCAGCAATCATCTTTAGTCACTCACCGAAAGCAGCAAACAGCACCCATGTGCTCCTTTTCAGTCAGATTCCTTCACAAGGCTCACAGTCATCTCCTTTACTTATAAAAGAGCTACTTCAGTCACTTACAAATCAGAGTTAGAATTGAGAGTTCTAGTACCTTAAACAATAGTTATCTCTGTAATTTATTATCCCAAAAATTATTTTCAAGTTATTTTGAAGAACTGTTTTCTAGTTATCAATAAACACTTGTAAGTTCTTCGTTTTAAGTTTTCATTTTCTGTGTTGTTTCCACCTTTTGGTATCAAAGCCAAGTTGTATGTATGTGTTATATTAACTGATTTTGTTGTTTCTGATTCATGCTTTTCATTTCTTTCCTGTCCAAATTGTTTCAAAGCAAAGTACTTGTCAATCCTACTAAAATCCTACGGTGATAGTAGAGGCGCATACATATTCTCTTATAGCACATTACCCCCCTCATGTGATGAGTGGGCCAGTTAGGTATTTGGGCCCGACCTTCCATGGGAATTTGCCCCCCTTAATCCCAAAGGGGATATTACCTCAGTGAGACTTGAACCCTTGACCAGAACTGGCTCTGATACCATTTCAAGAAGTGCTTGTCGATCTTACTAAAACCCTAAGGTGATAGTAGAGGCGCATACATATTCTCTTATAGCACATTATTATTATTATTAAAATTATTATTATTATATAAAATTAATATTTTTAAAATTTTAGTATTTTTTTTAATATTATAATTTTTTTCGTACATTTTAAATCAACTTAATTTAGGGGGAATTAACAATAGATCCTACTTTTGAGACTTATTACTCATTAAATCCTATTGATAAATTTATCAGTTTCTTATTTTTATGAATAAATTTATAGTGATAAATTTATCATTCAAGACCTGTAGATAAATAAATTTAATTAATGGGATTGATTAGTAAGTGTCCCTATGGTTATCTACTAGCCGATCATCTTTTGGATCTTGTTACCCATTAAGCCTTGACCTAGAGTCTTATGCACACATAAGTTTTGGCCCATCTATTATTTTTCTTTTTTTTATTTTAGGAATATTGATAGGTGAAAAAAAGGAGCTGAACTTATAGGTAAATAAGTCTTCTTTATAGGACTGGCCCGTAAGTCCCTAGTTGGTCAAGGAAAAGAGGTAAGAAAATAGCAAATAAAGAGTATTTTTGGTATTTTATTACAAAAGTTAATGGTGTCGAGAGAACGGTTAACAGAAAGGAGATATGTATATATTGTCATATAAAGTAAATGAGGTCAATGTAATTTCCAAAACTCTAAGGGATGTCTTTGTAATTGTCAAAAATCTCAAGAGTGATAAATATAATTTACCATAATTAATTAATACTAAACTATGCCGAATAAATAAGATATTCCCACATTCTCAAATTTGCCAAAAGGGTTATATGGTGAACAAGGCCTTATTTGACGTGATTTACCGTAGTTAAAAAGTTATCAAAAAGTCAAAAAAACTAATTTTTTTTCACCATATCTCTTGCAAGGGAGCTTCTATTTGCACATCCCCATTCCCCTCTTTACACACACTTAATAAAAATTATTTTTGTTATAATTTTATTTTTAAGTGAAATTACTATTATGGACATTAAACAAACACATTCGGAAGTTAAATGTCGAAAAAATGAAAAAAATTCGGAACTCTACTTCCGAACAAGTTGTTTATTTTTAGAATGTTACTTCCAAACCAATTGTTTATTTTCAAAACTCTCCTTCCGAACTAATTATTTATTGAAAAAAATTTGTAAAAAGAGGAATAAGTGTGTGCAAATAGAAGCTCCCCTCTTGCAAGCTTGCCTGGGAAACTTTTATATGTAAAAGTACCAAATTATCACTTGTTTGGACTTTTGACATAACACCTTCAAAAATTGACATAACACCTCCAAATAGCAAATATGTAATTTAACACTTCTTCATTATTTAATATTGCATTTTTTTATAAAAAATTAAAAAATTATTTCTAAACATATTATTTTTTTCTACTATTTTAGCAAAAAAATTAAAAAATTATTAAAATAATTTATTCCCAAACAACCCTTAAATATTGATTGATTAATAATTAATACTAAACTATGCCGTATTAAAAAAATAAAAATAAAATACTACACTTTTCCAAATGAGATGTTCCCAACATTCACAAATTTCACAAAAGGTTTATCCGGCGAATAAATATTGAGTGGAATGGTAGAAAAAATTTGAAATGCCTATTAAATATTCAAAAATGTTAGAGGTCTCAAAAATTCTACCAAAAGTTTTACCAAATGTTTCACATGGGTGTGAGACCCACACAATGTGGGTCACATGTGGGTCCCACACCCATGTGAAACATTTGGTAAAACTTTTGGTAGAATTTTTGAGACCTCTAACATTTTTGAATATTTAATAGGCATTTCAAATTTTTTCTACCATTCCACTCAATATTTATTCGCCGGATAAACCTTTTGTGAAATTTGTGAATGTTGGGAACATCTCATTTGGAAAAGTGTAGTATTTTATTTTTATTTTTTTAATACGGCATAGTTTAGTATTAATTATTAATCAATCAATATTTAAGGGTTGTTTGGGAATAAATTATTTTAATAATTTTTTAATTTTTTTGCTAAAATAGTAGAAAAAAATAATATGTTTAGAAATAATTTTTTAATTTTTTATAAAAAAATGCAATATTAAATAATGAAGAAGTGTTAAATTACATATTTGCTATTTGGAGGTGTTATGTCAATTTTTGAAGGTGTTATGTCAAAAGTCCAAACAAGTGATAATTTGGTACTTTTACATATAAAAGTTTCCCAGGCAAGCTTGCAAGAGGGGAGCTTCTATTTGCACACACTTATTCCTCTTTTTACAAATTTTTTTCAATAAATAATTAGTTCGGAAGGAGAGTTTTGAAAATAAACAATTGGTTTGGAAGTAACATTCTAAAAATAAACAACTTGTTCGGAAGTAGAGTTCCGAATTTTTTTCATTTTTTCGACATTTAACTTCCGAATGTGTTTATTTAATGTCCATAATAGTAATTTCACTTGAAAATAAAATTATAATAAAAATAATTTTTATTAAGTGTGTGTAAAGAGGGGAATGGGGATGTGCAAATAGAAGCTCCCGACATACACATGGCCAATTTCTGTCAAAAGACTTAACTACCATTGTTAATTGGGACAAAAAGAGACAAAATATAAAATTCAATGTTAAAATCGAACGATTTGAAAATATAGGAACTAAAATAACATAAAAGTGTACCATATGCATCATTTTAAGGGTGAACATCATAACATTTTCCTTTTCTCTATGCTAATTGTTGGTATGGTGTGTAGGATTGGCTGATGCCTATTGAAATTGTGAAAATTGTGATGCCCTTTTGGGTCATTACCTGGACTGCTGAAATCAATGTGTAGTTATCGGCATTTGCATCTACATATATGGAAACTTATGATATTTTGATTACATTGACAGTTTTATTGCTTTGGCTTTTGTTAGTATGTGGCATTCACCCCCAAAAAGATATATACATATATTTTAAATTTTTAGTAATTTTTTTCTTTTTAAATTATGTCCATTTTTTTTTACGTTTTAGGTTTGTCTTATGTAGACAAATCTAAAAAAAATAAAAAAATAAAAATAAAAATCCTAAAGACCAAAAAAAGTAAAAACAAATAATAAGTCAATTGTTTTTGATTTTTTTTTTTTATAATCCCTTTTGGACTTTTTTTTCAAAATTTTCAAATTTTTTGATCTTTTCTAATTTCTCTAGTCGAGTAGAATTCAAGAGTGTAACACTTTAATTTAAATAAAAAAAAAATCATTAAAGATGAAAAAAATCAACAAAAAGTTATTAAAAAAGCCAACCTCAAACACTGGTAAATTGGTTAAAACTCAATAGACACAAATAGACAGAGAATAAAACACACACACACACACACAAATCTTTGGCAAGGATTAATCATTAACAAATTAAACAAAAAGTAGTGCAAGTTGAGAAACATACTTGTATATTACTGATGTTACGTACTTCTCCTAAATCATTAAAAGCTTTGACACAAGTAAAGATTACTACAATGTGAAGAAAAACATGAATAGTTGAACCTTTATGTGAATTTGATTGTGGCACAATAGCTCTCTGTTTTGATAGGGTTTTTGTTGGTGATACCATTACTATATGTATATCATTGTTCGAGCATTTTGCTCAATTCTCAAAATTAAAACTAGAATCCATGGCCTAAATGGGCAAAAGTCATAGAATTCACCAATAAAAGGAGAATACATATATATGCAAAACACAGTCTATAACATATTCTGGACAAACCATTTATATAAGGAAATACTTACTTGAAAATATTTTACGAAAGGCACAAAATCATCAAACCCCATCAACATATATGCTAGAACTATAGAATTATTCAAACTTATTTCTTTCCAACAACTCAAGAAAATCCATAACATGATCTCAATGCTGCTTTCCTCTGAGGGTCCTCTCTCTAGGTGAATATAAAACCCTTTAATGATAGCAAAGCATATAACAAGCTTATTAGTGGATGTTAGCATGGTTTCTCTGAAATAATGCAACAAATGACTTTTGAAAAATTATTTGAGAAATGTAAAACAGCAAACTTGCATTTGTTTCAATGTTTTTAAGCATGTGACAAAGAATTTTGGCTCTTTTGGTAAAGAAATTAGGTGGAAATTAATCTGTACACTTTACTGTATGATCTTGAATGTAAGACATGTTTTGATGATAATCTGGAAATATCACTACCTCCACTTCAAAATATGAATGGTTATTCTTCAAGTCGTGATGATATTCCAAAAATCATTAACATGATTAGCATTGTTATGTTAATGATGGTAAGGAAATGAAAAAAATTCAAAAGATTCATGCAAGAAAAATCATGGGGTATGAAGATGGAAATTTGATGTACACGTCGAAATTATCACAAGATAAAGAGGTAATGTATGTACATGATATGAGAGAGAGAGAGAGAGAGAGAGAGAGAGAGAGAGAGAGAGACAAACCAATTGGGAGATGTATTCATCTTCCAAATTTTTTTTCGTTGAATTTCTTCTTTAGCTGAGCGAATTTGATTGCTATGGTTACTAATATCCAATTGTAGTTGTTTTCGATGAACTGGAAGTACGCATACCTCCAAGACTTCTTGAAATTCAAAGTGCCACAGACCCCCAAAAACCCAACCGAGAAACCAGGTCCAATGCCAGCATAGAACCACAAAAAATCAGTTTCATCTGCAACTTTACCCTCATCACCATGTTTGTGATCACCATCCGATGATTTATCATCGAGGCAGCTGTTTAGTGGTGCACCACAAAGGCCATCATCGTTGCCTATATAAATGGAAGGATCGTCGAGAGTTCGAAGTTGATTTCCCGTTGGTATTCGCCCTGATAAATTATTGAATGACATGTTCAAATAACTTAGGTAGCGTAAACTGGACAGACTTGAAGGAATGGGGCCAGAAAGTTTGTTTCGAGACAAATCAAGAGATTCCAATTGTGTCAAATTGCCAATACTATTAGGGATCCTTCCTTTTAGATGATTTCCAGATAAATTCAAGTTCAGCAACCCAGAAAGATCCATTAACTCTTCTGGAATCTCTCCAACAATGCCATTGTTCGAAAGGTCCATGGAGACGAGAAATTTGAGTGTCTTGGTGTATTCCAGTTCTCTTCCTTTCATTGAATCCAAAATGTTCTCTTCATAATTTGCTTCAATAGAATAATTAAATCGATAAGAAAAGTGCCCACGATGTAGGTCAACCATGGCAGTGAAGTTGCCAAAACAACGAGGGATATTTCCCGTTATGTTATTTTGTGCCAAGTTCAACAATTGCAAATTTTGGAGACAACAGAGTTGTGGAGGAATATCACCATAGAAATTATTTGATTGAAGATTGAGAAATTTAAGATTAGTTAGGTTATATCCAATCCATGAAGGGATATTATCAGTGAACACATTTTCACCTAGATCAATGGTGAAAAGATTTGTCAAATTCTGTAAGGACAAAGGAAGCTTCCCGAAAAAATTATTGTTACGCAAGTGCAAGGAATTGAGAGATTGTAGGGAACCCAAAGAACTTGGAATTTCACCATATAGACTATTATTCGTCAAATCTAGCACCGACAATTGATTCAACTGCCCCAAGCAAGGAGGAATTTTTCCTGATAACTGATTGTTTGAGAAATCAATAAGATCTATATTCTTTGCCTTGCACAAAGACACTGAAATGACACCAGTCAAATGGTTATTTGAGAGACCAAGAGATGTGAATGCATTATCATCACTCACAGTAATAGGTCCTGAAAGGGAGTTGTTGGAGAGATCTAAGAGATCAACATATGAAGGAAGCGGTGTTAGTGGGCCCTCAAATCTGTTAGAACTCAATTGTAACGATTTAGTGGGCCCTCTATATTTACATTTTTGAAATGTCAGCACCTTTCCTTTGATCTGGTTGTTGGAAAGATCCAAGTCTATAATGCCAAATAAATATTCTCAAACCAATCAGGAATGACAGCTGAGATGCTTGCATTAGACATGTATAAATTTGTAACCTTTTTTTGTGTTTCGAGCCATTGAGGAAATTGGGGTCCTACTTTTATGGATGACAATTCTATGGCTTGGAGTTGAAAGGGAGGAACCCATTGGGAGGTCACATTCAAAACTAATGAATTTGATTCCAAGAACAATTCATTTAAACTCTTGAGTTTGGCAAAGTGAAGTTCAGATACGGTGCCAACAAATGAATTGCTTGACAAATCTAGAGATTCTAGTTTTGAAAGTTGTCCAAGACTAATTGGAATGCTCCCATTCAATTGATTGTCTCCAACATCTAACTCTCCTCTATAAGTTGTGTCATATTTCCCATCTCACTTGGAATTGGACCTTGAAGATAATAATTTGCATTCAACCTGAGGATGGAAAGAGAAGCAAGATTCCCAAGGCAATGGGGGATTGCACCTCTAAGGCTATTATAACTAAGATCTATATGGACAAGACTGCTCAGGTTACACAAAGAATACGACATTGAATCATTGAAGTTGTTACTTGAAAGGTCAAGGACTGTGAGAGAGGTCAACCTTCCAAGTGTATCAGGAATTGGACCAGGTAAATAATTATAGCTAAGGTTGAGATACTGCAACCTTGAAAGATTTCCCAGATTATGAGGAATCGTTGCATTGAAAATTGACCAAGAGAGGTCAAGGTATCTCAAGCTTTTCAAAGATCCTAAGGAATTAGAAATTTGCATATCGTTCATGCTCAAGTCTAGGTAATGCAAATGATTCAAATCGAGTAAGGAAGGACTTATCTGACCACCCAATTTGTTCATTTCGAAATTTGAATAATCGCTAGAGAAGATCCAAGATGGTTTGCGAATTGGATTACGCAGATCAAGCTTCACAACATGGCCTGTTTTGCTGCTACAACCAACCCCCTTCCACGTACAACAGTCCTCTCCAACCCACGAGGATAAACGATTTGCTTCATCTATCAGATTTCCTTTGAATTTCATAAGAGCTTCTCGCTCACTCGCTATGCAACTCACATTTGAATTTATCCTACTACAAATGAACTCAAGTCTTTCAATGAAAAAAAGAGCAAATAACATCACAAGTGCACTAGAGGTTGTGCCCATAGCTTCTGGGTGTGGAATGTAATTTTGATGCATGTGTTGAAAGATTAGAGTTTTATAAATTGTATAAGAAGACTTGATTGTTTTGAAAAGTCTCAATTCATGAGCACTAGTTATAATTATTATTATTATAATATAATGTATATAATTAAAAATTATTAAAATATGTAAATAAGAATACATTTATGTCCAAGTCAAGTCATCAGTGCATTGTCATTCCGTCTTCTTGGGGTACAAACTCTTATTTCTAGTCTTTGGTGTGTCAGGCTCATATCGGAGAAAGAGCAATGATAAAATTATCAAAATTGGACCGTCTAGTCCGGCTTATGGGTTCATTTTGGATTTTATTTTGATAATTTGAACATTTTAATATATAGAATTTGTCGAGTATTATATTCTTATAAAAAATTACATTGATTGAATATCAATAACTATTTGATCGGATCAAATTTATATAAAAAAAATTAAACGGTGAAAAAATAAACGGTTGACAAAAATCTGATCCAATCAAATAACTATTAATATCTGATCAATATGATTTTTCATAAGTATATAATACTCAACAAATTATACACATTAAATTATTTAGATTATCAAAATAGGACCAAAAAATAAGTCCATAAACCAAACTGAACGATTTAATCTTATTCTCAAATATGAGACAAGCTAAACCCTTTATAAACTGTATAAGAAGACTTGATGATTTTGAAAAGTCTCAAGTCATGAGCACCTAGTTATAATAATTATTATTATAATATAAAATATATAATTAAAAATTATTAAAATATGTAAATAAGAATTTATGTCCAAGTCAAGTCATCAGCAGATGGCCATCCCGTCTTCTTGGGGGTACAAACTCTTATCTCTAGTCTTTGGTGTGTCGGTTGGTTTATGGATCGTCAAGTGCAATGATAGAATTATCAAAACTGGACCGTCTAGCTTGGTTTATGGATCTATTTTGGATCCCGTTTTAATAATTCGATTAGTTTCGTTGAGTATTATATTTTTATAAAAAATTACGTTAATCGGATATTAATAGTTATTTTGATCGGATTAAATTTGTATAAAAAAAATGGATGGTGAAAAAATAAATAATTGACAGAAATCTGATCCGATCAAATAACTATCGATATCCGATCAATGTAATTTTTTACAGGAATATAATACTCGACGAATTCTATATATTAAATATTCAGATTATCGAAATGGAACCTAAAAATAATTCTATAGACCAAACTAAATGATTTAATCTTTAATCTCAAACACGAGACAAACTGACCCTTTATACACTGTATAAGAAGAATACATTTATGTCCAAGCCTTAATCTCAAACACGAGATAAACTGACCCTTTATACACTAAACCAACCATGAACAATGACTAATATATTAGCAATTGATAGATGGCCAACACTGATACATTCACATAAATCACATATTTATGTCATACGACTTATGATTCCAAGTTACCTTTCATTTTCCCTTTTTCAACGGATAGGCATATAAGCACTACCTACATTCTCAACAGATATGTATAACAACAATATCCACATTCTCACATAAAAGCTATATCCACACATCACAAAGATAAGCATATAAGCTCTATCTTCACTTCTAGACAAGCATATGAGCTGTATCTACGGAGTTCATCCCCTATCTCCTCCCAACACTATCCGGTTTAGAGGTACATCCCCCATCTTCCCCTAAACTGCGGAGTACATCCCCCATCTCCTCCTCTACACATAACGTATACAAACACATTGGTTCTATATACAATCACTCAATACATATAATTAATGTATTCTATCAACCGTCAAATTCCATGACACATTCCATTGATTATTAAAAAGGGGCAATTGCGAACCACAAAGGCAGGATAATTATTGAATAATACTGAAACATCATATAACATTATTTGTGTAGTATCTTAAACCAATCATGTGGGGGTGAAACATATTAACTTATCTTTATTAAGGAGCCTCATTTCTCACCAATTAATTATCCCAATTAATTAAACAATGTAATTAGGCCATTTTCCATAATTACCATTTCAACCCTTAGGTCCCATTTTCATCAATGATTCAACAATCATTCCATTTTTTCTATGCCAAACATGCATCTAGGTTTATTATGAGTAAAACCCCAACTTTTGTAAAATTGCACAAAAGCCCCAAACTTTTACCAGATTACCAAACCAAGCCCAACATCTCAAAATACCAAAATTTAATGACAAAACCCATAGAGAGGAGTAGGATATCCCTACCTCAAATTCGGAGCTCCAAGGGAGAAGATGACAAAACCCAACGTGCTCCAAAACCCGAAATTTTCCGATTAAAAAGAAGCCCTCGACGATCAACAACTTTTTTGTAAAGGCCAAAGGTGAGCAAATCACTCCTACTAGATCAAAAACTAGAGAGAAGGTAGAGTTCTAGAGTGAGAGGCTCAACAATGGTGATTTTGGAAAAGTAAGAGAGAGAAGAGAAAGTAAAAAGTGATTTGGAAAGTCACAATTTCGGGACTTAAACCCAGTCGCCCGCTCGAGCGTAAAACGCCCCGCTCGAGCGCCACTCACAGACTCCCGCTCGAGCGCCCAAACTTCCGCTCGAGCGCCGGATGCACTCTCCCAGCACTTTGATAGAGCCAGGTCTCCGCTCGAGCTTCCAACTCTACGCTCGAGCGGCACTCAGACAACCCCGCTGGAGCGGCCAATCCCACGCTCGAGCGTACAACGCTGCACAGGAAAATACTGAATGGGTGTAATCTCCGCTCGAGCGCCAAAACCCCCGCTCGAGCGTACAGGCCAAAATCTGGGCAACTAGTTTTGGTTTCTAAACTCAACCAACCTGTAACAAACCTGCCCAACACATCCTATAACTCAATTACGAAGTAAAAAGGATGTAAACAAAATAATAAACAACTACCAACATCCACGGACACATGTCCGGATCACGGTATAACAAGGGTAAACCTGGGATTGCTATAACCTCCCCCCCTTAAAGAATTTCGTCCCGAAATTAAGCACAAGTTTTCAAAAACAAGTTTTTCTTCATTTTAAACAATGTTACACTTTAACATTCAACAATTCGACCCATTACCGGTCATCCCATCCCTTTAACAAGAGGCATTTCATAATATGTAAACAACATATGTACTTCCTACATGCATCAGCATTATGCACTATCTTTCCAATTTCAACAATATATTCAACATATACAATGTTACATTCAACTTCCATATGAGGCAAGTTCTAAAACATACCTCCAATAAACCAAAACATTTTCAATGTTTCACAACTTAAGAGATATATAAAAGCTCTTAAGTTCAACAATAGTTCAAAATCTAAATACAAGATTACATATCAACAAACAAGTCCGGATATTTCTCGAGGACTTCCAACTCACATTCCCAAGTGGCCTCCTCCACTCCGTGATGTTTCCACAAGACTTTCACCAAAGGAATGGTCTTGCCACGCAAGACCTGATCCCGCCTATCCAAGACCCGAACCGGTCTCTCCTCATACGAGGCATCCTCATCTACCTCTAAATCAGTCCAATCCAACACATGTGATGGATCTGGCTCATACTTCCGAAGCATACTCACATGAAACACGTCATGCACTCCGGACAACTGCGGCGGTAAGGCTAACCGATAAGCAACCTCGCCAATCCTCTCAAGGATCTCAAAAGGACCAATAAACCGAGGGGATAACTTCCCACTCTTCCCAAACCTCATCAAGCCTCGCCTAGGTGAGATTTTCAAAAAAAACATGATCACCTACCTCGAACGCCAAAGGCCTCCTCCTACGGTCAGCATAAGATTTCTGACGACTCTAGGCTGTAACAAGCCTCCTACCAACCGTCACATTCCGTGACACATTCCATTGATTAGTTTCAGTTTGCCTAATCATCATGCATTGTCTACAACAATCACGACTATCCTCCACCGATAGCCCAAAGCAGTTATTTCTAAAACAGAAAATAAATGCACAAATGGATATTCAATCAACATTTCATTTCCTCATTCCTCACAATTAATTATCCCAATTAATTAAAAAGTTGCATAAAATTAAAAATGGACAAGAATGTATAAATTTGCCGGAAAGAAAATACAATAACTGAGCGATACAAAAGTAGGAGCTTATTGAAAGTAACGTTTCAGGTGTTCGGCGTTCCATGGGTGGGGGAGGTCTCGACCTTCCATGTCCGGAAGTCGGTAAGTGCCTGGTCGGTGTCGGGCTTTCACAATGTAGGGTCCCTCCCACTTGGCTGCCAATTTACCCTCAGTTGGATTTTTGGTAGCGAGAGTTGCTTCTCTCAAGACAAGATCCCCTACAGCGAACTCCCTCGGTCGGACCTTGCGGTTGTAGTGTGTTCTCATTTTCTGTTGGTATGAGGCCA